CAATCCTGAGCCCACAAGCGATTCTCGGACTGCTCTCATTGAACAAGTCTGCAGAGTCACAAAGTTACCGCCGTGTTGCTCGGAGCCCTTGGGCAAACGCCCGAATGCCTTCCGCAGACCCTGTCAGAGTGCAATTCCTCGTGGCAGTCAAAAAATCTTCAAAGAGTCACTCCCAGCAACAAGCCTCGCGTCCCAAGCCGACCCCGACAATTTAAGTGCCAAGCCAAAAAGGAGTCCCTGTCGGTGCAGTTATTCACTTCATCGACACGACGTTCGATGCCTTCCCTTCAAGAAATATCAATCTATCTGCTGAATAAACCGCTGGGGATGTTTACCTGTTGGTAGTGCACTGCCAAGCGTTACGGCTACGAATCTGTTGTGGTCAGTGCTTTTCGGAAAACTGTGGACACATTTAGGGGTTCTTACGGTAATAGAAAAGCAGCTGATGCTTAGATCGCTGAAGCGCGCGGGCGTGTGCGGCTAATTCGCTGCTATTTACAGCACATCCATACCTCCTGAAATCGTCCACATGCATTTCGACTGCGCAGGCTCGCTGAATCTGGGGCCCGCGACGGGTGCTTCTAACGACTGCGCTCTCGCTGCGGCGCCGTGCGCATTTCGCATACGGTGGTGACTTTTCGCGGCGATCGCCGAGGAGCTCAGATTTCGTGACAAGTGCAGTGAATCGTGACTTTTGGACACGCGGCACCTTTACAGATTTCGTGGCAGGCACAGAAATTGGTGAACCTCCATGTGCAGATTTCGTGGCAGGCACAGCAATTGGTGAACCTCGAAGCGCAGATTTCGTGGCAGGCGCTGCCTCTTTGCGGAACCTCGAAGCGCAGATTTCGTGGCAGGCACAGCACCTCGAAGTGCAGAGTTCGTGACAGGCACAGCACTTTGTGAACCTCGATGCGCAAGAGTTCGTGGCAGGTACAGCACTTTGTGAACCTCGACGCGCAGATGCGCAGAGTTCGTGGCAGGCACAGCACTTTGGTTCGTGGGAGGTACAGCACTTTGTGAACCTCGACGTGTAGAGTTCGCGCCATGCACAGCATCCAGGCGTGGTTCCATCCAGGGGCTCCGGTCACTGTGTGCAACTCACTCACTCGTTCATTCATTCATTCACTACCTGACTGTGTTCCAACCGAAGTTCATACAAAGGGGATCATTTGCCAGACGAGCTACAATTGCCCCGGTTCCGTTCGATCATTCTCTGCTGGCCACCACCGAAGGCATCAGTGACGAGCACAAAGCAGGTGTGCATATATTTGGACACTTCACATACGTCTATCCTTTGGGCACGGCAATGCGATTCCAAGACCCAGTTTTGGTTGCGATCTTGGACAAGATGCCGACTCCAGGTGGTGCGAAGCTATCACAAGCCGAGTGGCGGGCACTGGAAGCCACTGCTGTGAGTGTGCGCGCAGGCGCGCAGAAACTGGTCGGCGCGGAGAACTTTTATCAAGCTTGTTTTGCATGGTCGGTGGTCAATATGGCGTACACCACTTGTGCAGAATGTGCAGCCAGATCGAGCCGCAACGGTGGCACAAGCTGTTCTGCAGCATCCGAATATGAACGAGACCGGTCGCTTACCTCGCTTTGGTTTGTATCACGTTGGCACGGAAGTCCGTCTGACGCAGACCTTGGCGGCGCCGCGTGTGGTTGTGGAGGGTTTTCATTTTTCTGCGGAAGATCGTCACCGTGGTGATTTACATGCTAGCTGCTAGTTGTGGTGTTGCGGAATTTGCCTGAGGCCATCTATGTGGAATTACAAGATGTCGAACAAAGCTTTCTACCTGCTGAGCCATGTCCTCATCATACACCACAGCTTGCTCGGATTGTCTGCGATTACGCGGCATGTTTGTGGTGCGACCGTATACCAATGTTGAAAGTCTCGCTTCCTGGTCTGAGTGCTGGACAAGCGGAAGAAGTCATGGTTAAAGTTGGGAGGACGCAAATGCCTTTGGTGACAGTGAAAGCCAGTACATTGCATGTCTTGCCAGGAACGACGACCGATCCAGGGCTGATTTTCCATTGGCGTTTTCCGCGCCGCTTGCAGAAGGATATGCGATGGCTGGCTTGCTACGTCGCTTTGTCGCAAGTGCGATCGTTGGATCGTCTACGTTCTGTCGGTCTGGATCTCCGCGCGTAGAGCAAGGACCACCGGATACCCTGCCTGCTCGCTTTCAGCAGCTCTTCCAAGAGAAAGACAAGCTGACGCAAGAATTTGCTTTGGAGTGTTTGCGGACCTTGAACTGGTGACCGTATTGATTGTATTCTGGGACCACGTGCTTGGACGTACTCAGAGACACTCATTGCAGTGACACCACCTCGTCGAGTTCCAGCTCCGCAGTTTCGTTTCTGGGCTTCCATCTATGGTCAGTGCAACCGGTCTAGTGAGTACACAGACGCTTCCAGAGCGCCCCGCGCGCGAGACCAGTAGTCCGACTATCCATACCCTGAGCCAGAGAACGTTTTGCAATTGCTCCAGGCTGTGATTGATCCATCTAATCTACCACCCGCGCTGCGCGTGATAGCAGCAGCAGCAGCGGCAGCGGCAGCGGCAGAAGCAGAAGCAGCAAAGCAGGTGCAGCAAAGCAGGTGCAACAAAGCAGGTGCAGCAAAGCAGGTGCAGCAAAGCAGGTGCAGCAGCAGCAGCAAAGCAGCAGCAAAGCAGCAGCAAAGCAGCAGCAAAGCAGCAGCAAAGCAGCAGCCAAGCAGCAGCAAAGCAGCAGCAAAGCAGCAGCAGCAGCAGCGGCAGCAGCAGCAGCAGCCAGCAGAAGCAGCAACAGCAACCAGCAGGAGCAGGAGCAGGAGCAGCAGCAGCAGAAGCAGCAACAGCAACCAGCAGGAGCAGGAGCAGGAGCGGGAGCAGCAGCAGCAGCAGCAGCAACCAGCAACCAGCAGCAGCATTAGCACCAGCAGCAGCAACCAGGCAGCAGCAGCAGCAGCAGCCGCAGACTAGCAGCAGACCAGCAGCAGTAGACCAGCAACGGCAAACTAGCAGCGGACCACCACCAGCGAATCATATGGAATGACCTCAAGAACTCAAGAAGAGTCACACAATTTTGGCCTGCGCAACCCGTGATTGTCGTACAGTTTTGGGAGGGCTGCGCAAACGGAGCTAGTCAATTGCTTGCAAGAAGAGCCACGCAATCAAGCAGGGTCGAAGGCAGGGCAGATCAAGCCGACGCTTCTGCTAGTAGGGAGGTGCCGAAGGATGAGACTTCTCACACTCGAAAGGCAGTAAAATGCAAACAAAGCCGCACATACCTAGCCCCAAACCACAACGATCAACAGGACATGGAAGCAAGCTGCATCAGCCACAAAATCACCCTAAAAGCGTAGGGTGGAGTCGAAGGGGGGGCATCTAAAATCAATACTTAAATAAATCATCATAGACTTCCACCACCCCTACATCATTTAGGTCGCTGAGGCTACCTTTCGTGGCCAAAATAACAAGTCAGGATTTCACCGATAGTCACCGATAGAGTAGGAATCTTCAAAGGGCGCAATTTCTAACCCAAGTTAAAAGCAAATGAAATGAGGCCGGACAACTGCACCATGTTTAATAGGAGCACGTTTTAGTAGAAGAAACTTGGTATCATGTGCTAAGAAGCAGTAGCAGTTGCAAGAAAGTGCGCAGCAACTCAGGGCAAGGTTCAACCCTTCTGTGGAGCAGCGCCCTCTTCCAGTCACACCTCAAAAGGAATCTTGAGCAATAATAGTACAGCTTAGGCAGGCGCATGGAATTGATCTGAGGCCAAGAACCATGTCTTCGGCCAAGGTCATGCACCTGGGAAATTCATCCAAAGTTAACTCAGGCTTTAAAAGTGTCCCGTCCAAAGTTAACTCAGGCTTTAAGTGTCCCATCTTCTCAGCTTCTGGCGAAGGTGAGAGCTCTGCGGTGCTGCTTTGGAGTCCAAGCAGGCTCCACATATTGGTAGAAAAGCATAATGGACGTTGGCAGCTTTCCACTTGCTCCCACTTGTTGAGCTTCCAGTGGAACGGGTGGAAGCTTTTTGCCGGCGACTGATCGTGCCATTTGGGGCACTATGCCCTTCATGCTTGCTTCCATGCTCACTTCCCATCCTGCTACCATCCGCGCAGCGGGCCCACGTTAGCGTCAACCAGGAGACGGTTATTGCGGACTTGGATATGCACATGTTATTTAAAAACTGTGGAACAGTCCAATGATGTGCTTATGTATTGACGTGAGGAATTCCAAACCGCATGAGCAATCATCCCATCAGGATCCGTTTGATAGCACCGAACGCAGAATCAGACTCTGCCACATCTGAACATCAACAATGTTACCGTACATGGCTGCCAGGGCTACAAAATCGCACTCTGCCTCACTTGCACTCCATTTTAATGCCTGATGATGATGATGATGATGATGATGATGATGATGATGCGCGGGAAAGTATGTCGAAAATTGAGCACTGTGCAGCACTGTGGACTGCAAATGCAAAAGGCTTGCCCAAACGTGGCCTTTCAAAGGAACACGTGCCAGTCTAAGCAGCACCAACAGTGGAAATCTTCAAAGCTGATACATCAACGCTCTGAAAAAGGCCACGTGTTTCTCAAGTCCTCATGAAGATGCAACTCATGTCCAATACAGGACTTTGGAACCATTTCCTTTGTTCCCCACAACGCAAGATCTGCATCTGGCATGTTTCTGTCCAACGTGATCTCATGCCAAAAATAAAATGCTGCAAGCGCTGAGAAGGCTTGGTTTTCTGAATCCAATTTTCCGAGATTAAGATGTTTATAAACGCACATTGCTGCTGGAGCGGTAAGCTCAAACATGAGTTCCCAATTTTTTGTATCAAACAATAGCAAAGGACACTTGGAGAAGGGCGTCGCAACCATTGGAAGATTCAAAATGTCTTGCCTGCACAGTCAACCCGAGGTCCAACAGACTGGCATAGTTAGTTAATTTCCGCAAGACCAAAAAATGATCCTAAACCGGATTATACAGTGGTATACGGGTGGCAGCTCAAAAAGAAGGGGTGAAGAAAAAACTGTGGCCAACAATCAGGCCATGTTGTCCAAAAAACTCGACCTTCCCAGCTCCAGTTTGCACATTGTCCTTTGGAAAGCCGTGGCTTCAGGGCTCACCAAGCTCAACAAACTCATCTGTTTTCTGAAGTTTGCATCCTCTTCACCTCAAGGTGCGGTTTTCTGGGTTTCACTCGGTTCGCTCTGAGCAGCAGAAAATGTCAATGTTGTCGTTCTTCCCGTTTACCGCTGCCAACGCATGCGTTGTGGCCAGTCAACCAAAAAAATGTATGGCCTGGAAAGAAATCAACTCACCAAAGTCTTCCCACGCATCCTTTTCTTCTGCATCTGGAACATCACCTCGGCACATCGATGATCTAAATCCTACTTCGTTTCCGTCCACAGCCTGGGCACAAAGATGTGAGGCTCATTCCAAAAGTGCTCCACCCCCAAAGTTGAACGGACACCCCAACGACGCCTACCGGGACCTTCACGTCTGGATAAGGTGCGCAAGTGTACCCAAACCTGAGCCTCAAAAACATTCCGAACTGTGGAACTTGGCGCAAAAACTGATCACCTGGCCTTTGGGTGGTGCAGCATTGCAGCATAAGTTCACAAAACAAAAGGTCGCTTCGCAGTACATCAAAAGAAGGTCTCCACATGCCTAAACCTGGTTTGAGCCAACTCAACGCCTTCAGTGTCTGCGTATGAGACACTCTTCTCAACACATCTGGCGGTCCAAGGCTTCTCCTCTGTCTTCCACACACGCTGACATATTCGCACGCATGCTCTGCCATGTCATAACGACTTCCATGGGCTGACCTGCGCTTCTCAAACTCATCTCGAGAAAACAATTACCCCAGCAGCTCCTGCAACCCAAAGACGGGCCTTGGTTTGCAACACCACACTCTACAGCTACGATGTTTCTCCGTTTGTCATGCGACAAAAGAGACGACGCAAAAACCCGGTCGAAACAAGAGCCACGCTTGACCTTCTTGCACCGCTTCTGTTCGTATGGAGGCTCATCAAGCAAATCTTTACGCGCGGGCGACAAGGTTTCTATCTTCCAGGAACCGGAAGCCGGCAGCAACTGCTTTGGCCTAAAAAGGGCCATTTGGACCTTCGTCGGCTTGCTGTAGCGCCGATCTCCTGGAGTCGAATGTCTTTTGGTCCAGCCTGTTAGCCTATTTGGCCCAAGCGCTTGAGTGCGACAACTTTGAGCGTCAGGTCCTCCACATGTTGCTCCAGCCACAAGAGGTGACCATCTATGCTGCTACAAGGCTCGCCCCGGGGGAAAACCCCAGATCGACTTCTGTCTTCTTGAGGTACACTATGAAGGAAAGAACTTGATGAAGGCATTTTCCTTCGCAGCGTCCACTGAGATCACCAAGAGCGCTTGCCACTGCACTACTTTTGCAAAGTATCCACCCTCCGCCAGCATTCACCTTCACATCCTGCGATTTCTTCACGGTCAACAGACGAAATGGCGGCACCAAAGCTGCCCCAACATTGGGGGCATTGGAATTCCCTTGAAGCACAAGGGGGCGTTGGTGGGTCGAACCCTTGTATACTTCCAAGATTGAGGTTCCAGTGAACAGCTTTCATGGTAGTGATTGAACACGAGGAAAATGTTTTTTGGCGCAGAGCCGGCCTTTGCGACATTGTTTCCTTGGGGAGGCGCTGTCGGGCCCTTGCCACCATCTTTTCATTCAACCTTCATGGGCCACCCCAAGCGCAAGCCTTTGAGGACTACCTCCAAGCACATCGCCTTGAACATCAACACTGGGTCAACTTATGTCAACTTTCACCGACGCATCAAAAGCCAACGAGTTCCCTCTATACTTCCAAAGAAAGTAACAACTCAAGAGAGCAGCTTCCTCAATTGTCTTGTCGAATTTCCAACCTGTTTGCAGGAGGCCTCTCAACTTCAAAGCCTCTGCAGCACTGTCCACAGTGTATCTTCAGCAGGGCACCTTCCTGCGCTTCAGCACCCTGGCCCTACTGAGTCAGGGCTTGCGGCTACCACTGCAGTGCATGCGGAACTCGTGTGCATCAGGGGCTAACAGCAGCCGCTCTGGAAGAAAGGCTCCGGGAGCAATGCCCACAGCTGCAAATAGATGCACACCGACCGGAACCACCGACCACAACTGCTACAGGCTCAACAAGCTGAACAACCACCCAAAGAGAGACATCTCTTTGAGGAGACATCCACAAACGCACCAACGAGCAGATATTTCAAGAGTTTGTCACCAGCCAACGCCTGGACCAGCCCTACACTGCGGCACTTGGTGGACACCAAAGCCACAAGCTGTGGCAGAAAGGCAATCAAGTCACTTGCGCTCTCTGCGGGCTCCAGCTCCACCTCGATAGCCAGAGGAGAGTCATAGGAGGCACCACCTTCCAAAAGCCGGGCTGAGAGGCTCTCCACCGATCCAGTCCTTCTTCCGGCACCAGACCCAGCAATCCACCTCTCAGGCTTCCAGCGCGGCTGCAATCCAGCCTGCTGAACATCACTGAGGAGAGGCCTCCCAGACCGACTCCATGGCGACTGCACTTCTCCACTGCCCTCACCAGCAGTGAGGCCAACCGGCGCGCACAAACGAAGCCCTCAGCTCTCACAAGAGGCCGAACAAAGCGACCACGAAGCCTACGCCGTGGACTACTTCTAGCTGCTGCTGTACATGGGGCGGCCTCCTGACACCGGCCACAAGGGCCTGCGACATGCAGAAGCAAAAGCACCTCTAGGAAAAAACATACATACATACATACATACATACAGACAGACAGACAGACAGACAGACAGACAGACAGACATACATACAGACATACATACAGACAGACAGACAGACATGACATACAGACATACATACAGACATACAGACAGACAAACATACATACATACCACGCATACCACGCATACCATACATACAGACATACATACATACCATACATACATACATACATACATACCATCATACCATCCACCCATCCATCGATACATACATACATACATACACACATACATGCGTACATACGTACATACGTACATACATACATAGATACATACCATCCATCCATCCATCCATACATCCATGCCATACCATACCATACCATGCCATACCAAACCAAACCATACCAACATACATACATACATACATCCATGCGTCCATGGTTCCGCGGAGCTCAGGTCAAGGCATGGTTCGCGAACGAAAAACATTTGACAGCTCCCCAAATTCTTGTTGGCCTGAGCTCCTATTTCCCTTCTTCCTCAAATCTGAGGATGTTTGTCCCTGGCTCTTCGCATCTTCTCGGGTCGCCATCAGATCCTTCTCGGCCTGAATGGAAAAGCGCCCGGTCTCTTCAAAAGAGCAGACTTGGTTCCTTTCACCTTAGTCATCGACCATGGATGGATGATCCACCCATCGGATCTGCCCCCCTATGGAGTCTAGCTCCTCTCTCACTATCTGAACCTCGATGGCGGTTCTTGGCCTCCAAGGGTCTCACGGGCCAAATAGTCGTAGAGGGACTTGGCATCGACAATGGCAAGACTCTCCTTCAGACGATCATCGCTATGATTCAAAGCGAGGGCTAAAAATTGTTCATTGGACAAGTTGTGGCCCAATTTCTCACGTGAAGCGACGGTTCTTCGAGCTCTCGGAAAAGCAACATCATCCACATGAGACCACGGCTCAAACTCTGAGTCTCAGCGGCAAGTGTTGAATTGGCTACTCTCTGAAGTTTTCCACTGCGCCACCACAGCAAGTTCGTGGTGACTTCATTGCCATCCTTTACGCCATCTTCATGGCTCAGAATCATCTGTCCTCCTTGGCTGTGGAAACCGTGGTTTCCACAAGAGGCGTCTGTGACGACAGCCAACTTCATCTTGGACAGGGGCTGAACGGAGATGGTCGAGTCAGCATGACTTTTGATCTCCTTGACTGCCTCATTGAGGCTGATGAGATCTTCAACTACCATCTTGTTCAGCCTCGAGGACATAAGACTTGCAACCCCACCGGCATCTAGTCATCCTTCTTTGCAGATCCAGTTCAAGGCGCCGCATATCATCCTTGCCTGCTTCCTCTCTTCTTCGGTCACCGGGCTTTCTTTCTCCTTCTTTCTCTGGGGCGGAATGTCCACCATCGGAAGTCGCTCATTGACGAACTTGATCATGTCGATCTTGAAGCCGTAGTCTTTCATTTGGCGGATTCTTCTTCCGTTAAAGGAGGCTCCTTCTGGGGTATCTTGCAGCATAACCCACTTTCCAAATTGGAAGGTCCTTTGAAGCTGCTTCATCTTCTCTTCATGGAGCGAGTGCCCAGCTGTCATCAGATCGTCCACCTCAATTGCCACTATGCCTTCTTTTCGAGACTGGTGATGACATCAATGCCTTGTTTCTCAACATTCGTCGCAACTCGGCATTGTCCTCTGGCCACCTTCCACAGCTGACCAAACATGGCCACCCAAAGATTCGCTCCATCGACGATGACCACGGTGCCAGGACCGGTCCAGTATGGCTTGTTCGTCATGCGATCCACCACTTCTTCGCCGCCAACCTTTCGCTTTCTGCTCTTGGGCACTCTATAGACGAATACATAGTCGCCTGAGCTGAACTCGTGAGGCACTTGGCTTCTTCCATGTTCACTTTTCTTCATCGCTTGCCTGGAATTGTGCTCTACGAAAGCCTTCTGAGCAACTCTTCGGAGCCTTAGGCTCGCTCAAAGTCATCCACCACCGCCGACTCCATGAGTGAGACATCCACCAGATCATCAGTGAGCAGACAGCCAGACAGTCTGGGCCATTGACCAATTTGCCTCTGTATTGGAGAGTATCCGGAGCGATTGGTAAATCTGTTCTTGGCCACTTCGACTTCTTGCATGAGCATTTTCTCTGTCATCAGTCACCACAGCTTCTGCTCGTGCCTTTTCCAGAAGCTCCTTGAAATGACTCCCGTGTCTTTCAGTCTTTCCTTGCTGCCACGGGGCTCTTGCCGCGATTTGGTGTGTCACTACGCCATGCGACCCGGCGATTTCCATGAATCGCTGAGAAAATTCTTTGCCTGCGTCACAGCCACCTCAGGAAGCCTGAAGATTCTGATCCATACGTGCCAGAGACATCTCCAAACAGTTTCAGGTGACTTGTCCTGAATTTTCTCGACCAGTTGGAACACGGGGTCTATTGACACGGGGTGTATGTCCTTGGAATGGCAGCTGGTCTGACAGTCTTGGGCTTTGGCTGTGTCTTGCACGCCTGGCATCGAAATCTTTGGATGCCCATCTGATAATTTCTCCTCTGACTCTGACTCTCGCCGCTCGAATCAGGCGGATCAGATCTTCCTTGGCTGGGTGTCCAACACCTCGATGTAGTTTCAGCACCATCTTCTTCTCTTCGGGAGTTGGCTCATAACTTCCAATCTGTTCTCCGCTATGCGCTTCTTGAACATCTTCTATCGGAGGTCTTTCTTGCGGCACATCATCTTCTTCATCACCTTCGACTTCTTCGAAGGTGCAATTGACCTGAACAGGAATCTCTGGGCAATTCGTCACGATGAGGGTTGGCTGTTGCACTTCTTTCACCTCAGGCTCTAGCCATGACCTGGCTCCTTTGGGCTGCTCATACATGAACCACTTCTTCTTCTTCTTGCATTGCCATTTGGCCACAAGCATAGAGATCCTCATATGGTGCAGTCCTTTGCCCACTATCACCATGACCTTCGCAGTGCTCATGCGGGCGTAGGGAGTGAACGCAATGCAGGGTGGACACAGAACCACCAGATCTGGTTGTTCCGTCTGGAGTCTCCTCCACATCTCTGGTACATGACCTCTGTCTCGGAGGTCCCAACCTCTACAAACATCAAATGAAGTGCCAGCACGCATGCCCTTGTTCTTCGCTTGTTCACACATTCTGGGAGGAGAGTGCACTTCTGAGACTTGGGCATGTTGTCGACTCTTTGTGGCAATCTTTTCAAGATCGGCCATAAGCATCTTCTTTGTCTTGCGAGACAGAGCTTTCTCCTTCGTGATGTCGTCCACCTGCTCATGCAAAATGGAATAATCTCTCATTGTAGCCCACTCTTACTATATAGTTTCGACTGAGGTCGATCTTGCCATAGCGCTCCTCCCAGACCTGGTATTCTTGGTTCCATATCTGATAGCGCTCTTCAGTGACAAAGAAACCTTCGCAGGCCTGTGGATGCATCATAGCATTCAATCTTTTCTTTGCCTTCTTGCTGGAGGCAGTCAACCAGCCTGCATGCTCTTCTCTCACGTCTTCCCAACCAAGAGACTCTTCGCTTACAGCTCTCCACTCTCTCCGTCCGGAATCTGGATCATCTCGCCCTCCTCGTCGAAAAGGTGCACGAGATTGGTTGGGATGGGACCCTGCGAGCGTCCCGACCAGGAGTCCAGAAGGTGCCAGTGCAAATGCAATGCGCCGGCAGAGAGGTTGGAAGTCAAGAAGGGAGCGCTTCGGAAGGGCCGCAAGTTCTGGAAGTGCGTTGAAAGGGAGTGCGATTTCTTCCTGTGGGAGAACAGAGAGACCAGCGACGCGATGTCAGTGGAGTCCTTCAGCATGATCAGTTCGAGAACTCGAAGGACACTGGACAACTCGCGCGTGGGAATGACCGTCTGATGCAGCTCACTGAAGAAGGTGTACTTCCGAAAATCCAACACAACTCTCAAGTGCTTCAGCAATTGAACAGGCAGCAAAAGGGGGACTTCCCCTTCAACGACCGTGCACTCTAACACCCCGTTCTCGCCGCCCAGGCCGATTGGAAGCAATGCGACTCCCAGCACCGCAGCACTACCACCAACTCCTTTTGCTGAAGATTGTTTTGGGGTCCAGACCCACGTTGTGAAAGAGCGTGACAAAACCTCTTCAATGCTATCGAACCTATCAGTCCACCCTCTGCGGCTGTGTCAACAACTCCTTCATGAGAGCTGGTGGTAATACCACAAGAGGTGCTTTCCCCATGCGCGCTCTTGTATGCTGACGCGGTCTCAAAGTCGGAGTCTGGAGGTCTCTCATTGGCCTCCGTGCGCTCTTGGACAAACTGGCGCAACCAAAAATCCTCACAGCCGCTTGTCGCGTCTGTGGTCGACACGAAAAAGCCTGAACGGGACGCTGAAGATGTTCCACTGGCCGATGCATTCGAACTCGGAGCCAACCCTGTTCTTGTCGGGGTTGGTGCGCTCACGGCCCCAATGGCCTATGGCATCACACTTCCAGCATCGAGTCCTGAGTTTGAGCTGTTCGATGTGGACTTTGTTCTTGGACTTGCCTTTTCCATGACCCTTCATCGGAGGAAAGTAGCCCCTGCTAAGCTTTTGGTTCTTCAAAGCCTCACGCGCTTCCTTGTACGAGGCCAAAGCGGTCATACACCAGGTCGAGGTCTCCATCGGCAAGGTAAATGTATTCGTCACTCTCAGTCTCGTTGCTGGCACCCTCCTCGGTCTCAATGCGCTCTTCTTCCATGACATAGTGGGACTTGTTCTTATCTTTGATCACCTTGTCGAGCTTTCGAAGTGCCTTAGTGATGGAGACTTTGTCATACTTGCCATCACACTAAACCAGAAGTCGCTGATTCAGCTGAGGCATGTCGATACAAAATGTATCCCTGAGCACCTTCTGGTAGGTCAACTCCTTCCTGAGATAGCCTGGAAAAGGCCTTCTCCATGCGAGCAAGGTACTCGACCGATGTGCTCCATACACAGCGGTCCCCAAGGCCCTTGGCAAGCTCACCTCGAGATGGGGCAAGAAAAAGTCTTTCAACCTTTGCATCACATTTCGAACTCCATCTTCGCAAGCTATGTCCTCGAAGGGCATCTCTTCGAGCGCTAGCTTAGCCAGTCCAGTCATGGACCGAAGCAGCTTCGCGCCTCTCTTGTTGCGGGGCACCTCAGTCTCGAATTCCCACAGCCTCACACTCTTCTCAAAGCTCTTGACTCTGGGTCAGCGCCATCGTAACTGGGTGGGGGATCCCTATCCCGGTAGTGACTCCCTTCTGCACTTCCAGGTTCACCTCTCCTAGCCCCGGCCATCGTGGCCGCCTCTCCATCTGCAGCTTCACTGGTTCTCCCGGCCATGGATGTTCCCAAGCTCCGCGGTACCACTGTTGCACCGCACGATCAACGGGCTCAAACACATGAAGGGTTTTTCATCAAAAGCAAACAGTCGGAGTCGTACGGGCCACTAGGACAAACCGAAAGGTTCCGCGGAGCTCAGGTCAAGGCATGGTTCGCGAACGAAAAACATTTGACAATTACATGCCCCACCATGGTGCGGTTCTGTCACACCGGATTCCAGGTGTTTCATTGCCAACGCCGCTTGCATCTCAGGAACGCAGGAGTAACCGATGAGCTTTCTCAACAATCGACTCCTTACAGCTCGCAGCTTCACTCACTAAACTCTGCATCATGGAATCATAGTGCAACACTGGCACCGCTTGCAATGCTGAATATGCTGAATGCTGAGACCGCTGAGACCCCAGCTCCAGGATTCTGAGTCATCTCAGCTAGAAGCAAAACTTTATCTCCCCTTGAAATCACGCGATCTCGAGCCAGCTTCCTCGACAAACATGCTCCCCGTGAATCAAAAAAGGTAATTCATAAATTCAGTTCTGAACTGGAACCAGCCGATTGGTACCAGACCGGCCGTCCTGAGACTTCTCCATGCATCTCGGGCGTCTTCCATGTCGTCCTCTTCCTCGACGTAGATCTCATCGTCGGAGTCATGGGGTTCATCTGATTCATCGTCATCCGGAGAAAGATCCTCATCATCCAACCTTCCAGAAATTCCAAACGGGCCATCACCATCATCGTCATAGATGGGGTTGGCGGCATTGATGATGAACTGCGAGGTTCCAGGCCCCAGGGTTTGCGCAGCACGCATTAGCTGTTGCAATCGGGCATTCCATGCACCAACACTTTCATCGTCTCCTGCTATCACAGCCAGTTTCATGAACTTAAGCGGCTTCACATGAATATTTGGCAAAACTGCTGGTAGTTACTGTAACGAAGAGGACATGATTCAACAAGGTTATACATTGCAAATTTGGTCATCGTTCTTTGGTGGTTGCTCGTTGGATGGCCAAGCTAAAACTCGAAAGCAATGACGCCGTGCGAGTTCGACCACCATCCACTTGATTAAAAGGCTTGCACAGCAGCATCCTTGGGCCGAGTGCAGGGACCCTCCGACAGAAAGCACCTTGAAAGCAAACGCATGGGAGAACCCCACTTGCGGGTGAAATGCAGCTTAAAAGCCGACTAAAGGAACCTGTGTGAAATAGAGCGTGCGAGGGCCAGCGGGAGTCTAAAAATTAGAAAACGCTCCGGCAGACTCAAGGGTGAGGGCTCCAAACATAGGACCACATAGTCCACCGTGCTAACGCGGGAGAAGTGGGCACAGGTGGCCTGCAGGAAGGACCCCTGCCAAACGCAATGATATCAAGGCTTTCTTGAAGTCGCGATTCACATACCTTGGTTGAGGACTTTGAGGCCGGCCCCAGCACGCAAGGCGAAGGCACAACGCGCACCAGTGGTGAGGGAGCCAGGGCGAGGGGGCCAAACCAGCGCTCGAGTGAACCTTGAGAGGGCCTTTCCGAAAGAAAATTGTAGAAAATGACGGCAAACACAAGAACTCCACAGTTTCAACTAGCGCAAGAGCACGTTTTTCGTCCTGGTGGTGTGCTAGCATGCCTATGCATCAGGAGCCACTTGCCCTGCGCAGCTCTTCTGAAGACGTGAGTTGTCAGCAGAATGCTCCTTGCCACGGGGACATGCGCGCGCTCTCACCGTGGGCAACAAGTGCAACGCTAAAGCCGTTAAGGACCAGACTGGATTCTTTGTTTCAGGACAACCTTTTCCTGGCATGTCACCACTGCTGTCGCACCTCGCAGGCTGACCTCCGGCACAGCATGTCCATAAATCATAAACCTCATCAAAAACGATTTGCATTTGCAGAACAGCTTCATTCATGAGGCACTCATCATTTGAATAGGAGTTCGGATTTACTTTTAGGTATTTTTCTTTGCTTTTGTATTTTTGTGATTTTCGTTTTTCGTGGCAACTGCAGTGCTTTGTGGACCTTGAAGTGAAAATTTCGCGGCAGGCGCAGTACTTTGTAAACCTTGAAGTGCAAATTTTGTGGCGGGCGGCAGGCGCAGTACTTTGTGAAGTGCAGATTTCGTGGTGGGCGCAGTACGTTGTGGGCTTTGAAGTGGCAGGCGCAATACTTTGTGGACCTTGAAGTGCGGATTTCGTGGTAGGCGCAGTACTTTGTGGACCGTGAAGTGCAAGCTTCGTGGCAGGTGCAGCACTTTGTGAACTTGGAAGTGCAGATAGAGAGAAATATATAGAGAGAGAGAGATAGTGGAAGAGAGAGAGAGAGAGAGAAATTAGATAGATAGATAGGTAGGTAGATAGATAGATAGATAGATAAATCGATAGACAGATAGATAGATAAATCGATAGATAGATAGATGCATAGACAGATAGATAGACAGATAGATAGATAAAGTATAGTCAGCAACCCGGCACTGAATGCAACCGCCGTTGCACGATAGTGGTTTTGGTACTTGGTCCTCCGGTAGCATTCGTGTCAATTGAGAAAGCGGGAGGGGGTGCCGGGAAGGGCGCAGCGCCTCCCCCGCAATGAAATCACAGTATAGTCAGTGTGTTTTCGGGTTCAACCACGAAAATACAGTCAAAAAACCGCTAAGCTGCAACTGCAAACGCTCCTTTTTGTCGCGATGAGCTGCGTGCTTGAGCCAAATTGGCACATGTGCAAAAAAGCCTGGCATTAGGTGATGTATTTCAACACCCCCTTCTGCTTTCGCAAGCGACGCGCGAATTAGCAGCTGTCATAGGGCTGAGCAATGATGCCAGCGTGGACCTTCTTTTAAAGGCCACTCTATGGCATGTGCTCAGAATGCATGCAGCTCGAATTTAGTATCGGTTCCGCCAACTGCCGGTCGACCATTGCCCGTCCCGATCACGAGTCCACCACTGACCATCATAGCAGGTATAGTACCCCCATTGGTCGCCATCTTGAGGCTCTCGGGCAGCAGCGCGAGCTGTGCGGAGAGCTCCTTCGCGTGCATCTCTGACAGGCATCGATTTTGATGTTGTCGTGGACGCTGGTGAAGGCACTGGTGGCGTCTTCGGCTTAGTATTGCTCTTTGGAATTTTGGAATTTTTTTTTGCTCTGTGGAAGGGTTGGTGCCATCTTCCTTGAGTGATACCATTCTAGGTGCAAAATCGAGAATTCAAAATAACTTATAAGCTTCCTACTCAAGGGTCTAAGAAAACAGCTGTGGCAAAGTCATTGTGCAAAGCGAGGCATACAACGCCAGCCAACTTCAAGGCATTTGACGGGACTTTGTGAGAATGTGACAATTGAAGGGCAACAGGGGAAATTTAATTTCCTGTGTCCAAAGAATAATTTTGCAGCACCCGCTCGACAAACAGGCAACCCCCACTCGAGAACACGTTTTCCAAAGTTTGTGTAGAACAGGAAGGCTGCAATAATCAGCCTGGTTGGAGGTTCCCTGCTTGGTTTGGAACCGCTGGCTGGAGCAATCTTCAATTCAATTCAAGAGAAAATATGGTGCGCAGTGCAAGCCAGACTCCCAAGCTTCCCGTTAGTTAGAAAACTTAGAAGTTAAAACTGTAATGTTTTTACAGGGTCTTTTTCCGGAAGCCTGAAACATTTAAAGCATTCAATGCACCAATGTAAAGAAAGCCAGACACCCAAAATTGAAGAAGTCTTGATCGCGCTCTTTTTTCATTCTGCGCGAGCTCACTGCATGCATCCTGGCCGATGCAGCCAGAGATGCAACAAAAAGCTTTGCGCCCATGCCAGAGTGCATGTATCTTGGCCGACGCAGCCAAAGATCACGCCAGCGGGTTCCAAACCTCGTCGTTTTCCTCACCCTCTTCCATCTCCACTTCCTGGTCGTCATCATCGACCTCCCCAGCTGAGGCTTCGGTTGCTTCTGTCTTTTTTGTTTGTTTTTTTGTGGGTGGCTCATCATCGCCGCCTACTGCAGGCTTCGGCTTGGCCCTAGGCTCAGGCTTCTTAGGTGGCTTTTCTGGCTTCGGTTTCGGCTTTGGCTTATTTGGTTGACCCTTGGCCTTGGATTTGGGTTCGGCTTTGGCTGCAGCAGTCACTTGCTCACCAACCGCAATATGCCCCCAGCCTGAAAAATTGTCCTTCTTGCACTTAGAGGACGACATTCTGTGGGCCAAATCAGCCAGAGGCCCACTTATTTTATCTTTCCTTGAGCAAAAAGCTGCGTCGGACGAGAATCGTGTATCTGAGCCTCCTACAGAGGTGACTAACAGACTACTCCTTACAAGCTTCAAGAACGTTCCCGAGGCTCGGTTGGAGCAGGATAAAAGCAGACTGTCCTAGAATTAGAAAACATGAATGGAATTTTTTCTAGCAGTCTGATTTTTTCCTGCTCCTTAGGAGGTTCAAGAACGTTCCCGAGGCTCGGTTGGAGCAGGCTAAAAGACCTCTCCTTACAAGCCTGGCGCGCCATTTTTTCCCTTTCCCAAACTTCCTGTCTCAGCCGAAGCAGCCAATGACAGGCTCCTGGTCTGTCCTTGGCAGCTGGCCGAAGCTCCCAGTCAGCCTTGGCTTACTGCGCGTCCTCGGCAAGGACTTCAAGAGCAAAGTTAGGGAACCATTTGCTCACTCCACTCCAAGACAGTGTCAAAAAAGGACCTGGCATGTCTTCAAGCACTCGGACACACGCCAAAGCTGCCTTGAAATCATTCTTAGTGAATTGAGTCAACGGGTCTCTCAAATAGCTCGGCCCACGCGGAGGCAGGCCTGTGACGACGCGAAGCGTAGGGTATTGATGCGGACAAGTATATTTGATTTTGGTGCAAACATCCAGCACATGAACCAAACTTCCGTCTAGCAGGGCTGTTGCTGAATCAGGTAAATGCTGCCATGCCCACAGTAGCGCGTTCCTCAAGCACTCAGCTTCGTCCAGGGCATCGTCCTCCCCAAAGTGGAGGATCAGCAAACGGCGGGTATCTGCAGTAAAGCGACAAAAGGACTTCAACATTTCTGGATCAGGACCAGGGGGAGCCATTGCCATAGAAAGGGCCAGCTTCCATTTGCAGCAGCCAGCTTGAGAATCTTCAGGGTTCAGCAGAAACTCCTGCCCAACCGCGCCAATTTCAATGTGGCCTTCGCCTCCACATTGCTCATGGCAAAGGATTTGGCCGAAGCAGCCAATGACCTCTGCAGAAAAGCACCTCACCGAAGCAGCCAAAGTACTCAGCAACCCCCACTTGGGAAGGCAAACCCATTTAGAGCCACATGGCGGCGTCAAGATTTGGAAATAAAATTTTCCAATGCCCAAATATCTTTTCTTCCCTTCCTCGAGAAAACAGTATTGAAAAATCGAGACAATATTCTAGGAGCGTCAATGAAGGTGAAAAGTTAAGGTTGACATGACTACAAGTTTAACTGCTAAGAAGGGACTGTCCTAGCTAGAGCTGAACCTAGTCATGATTTACACAGTCAGACGCGACCCTACAAATCGAGAAGTCTAAATAACTTTTGAGGTGGTAGCAAAACCTTCAAACAGACAAACTTCAACCCCAATTGAAAAAGCAAAAAAATTCTAAAATTCCAAAGAGCAATACTAAGTCGGTGCTGGTGGATTGCTCAATGTCGTTGGCGGGCTTGGTGGAAACTTTGCAGTTGGCATTTGGCGCGCATCAATCATACCAATTGCATTGACGCTTGCCCTGGGAGAGGTTTCCATCTCCGGCTCTGCGGATTGGGCAGCCCTTCAAGTGGGTGTGGCTTTCGGCGGGGTCTTTGGCGCAGCAACTCCTGATCTGCTGCTTTTGCCTCGCCCTGTCGCCGCGTTGCGCTCGGCTGCTCTCTCACTCTATCGGGTTCAATCGCCGATTCTCAGGCACTACTTCCCCTTGGCGGATCTGGTTTCTTGCAAGTACACATGGGCCCTTCCGGAATCGCGCCGGGCTCCGCCGCCGACGATGAGACCGTCTTTTTGTATTCCTTTGATGGCAGCATGAAAGGTCTGTGGTATGCAATGGTTGGCACGTCCTCGGAAATTGCTGAGATCACGGCCAGCATCTTGTGCCCTCGCGTAGGTCACGTCTGCATTAAAGAAGAGATCACTCTCGGCACGGATAAAACTGTTGTTGTATCCGGTTGCCGCCCTGATTTTGAAGGGCCAATAGGTTGTCCAGCAACGACGAGGAGTTCAAACCTATTTTTGTTGTCCAGTTTGGACATGTGCATGATATCAGTCACCTTCATTCTGGCATCGGGCAGCTCTGCAAAGAGTGCACTGACGAACTGATTCAAATCCAAGAATCGATCATCGTCATGCTGCGTATCCCAGTCATTGGTGCTGATATTCCCACGAAGGATGCCGGAAGCTCGTGTCAGGTGGCTTTTCAGCCAATGTGGGAGCCTATACCACTTTGGAGGTGGATTGAAGTCCCATCCACTGATCACGATGAGCTCATATACGGGCGCCCGTCGATCACCACACCAGGTACCAGCTTGCCTTGGACTTCCTCCACTTCTGTGCGCCGATAGTCCGCTTGGCCGTTGAGGTGATGATTGGCGATGTAGCTCTCCTCAAACTGAGTGTCAATGAGCATAGCATCCCATTCCTCCTTTGAGACGCGCCCTGCTCGAGCAGCTTGCTTCGCAGGAGCGCTGGATGATGGAGCGGCTTTTGCCCTTGGGCTCGCCGGTGAGGGCTGCACTGGTTCAGCAGCCGCTGCTTCGGGCGCAGGCTCCTCCTCATCCTCTTCATCATCATCACCTTCTTCTTTCACCTCGGTGCGGGCGATCGTAACTGGTGGCGCATCCTCGTCCATTGGCTCTTCTGACCGAGCAGCA